TCACAATCCTCGGGTTCATTTGTATGGCTAGTCCTGGATGAAGCAGTTGCATATAATGAAGAATATCTTCACACATAGCTTCTTGGTGTTTCACCCACAGATCCATTGGATTAGACATTTGACAGGTAGCAATCTTAACAGCAAAAGTCCCTTATTGGCTCTTGTGATTGATATGAAACTGCCTTTTTGTAAAGTTTGGTCCCAATGTTCATCACTTTCTGTAAGGCCAAGTTGAATGCATGCCTGTCTGTATGTCTCAAAAATATTTCTGTTCGTTGTTTTCAAATTTTGAAATAATGTTGAACCCCTGACATTATGAAGTCAAAGAAAAAGCATTCAGAATTTTTTGGAATGTACTCTATAAACCCGACCAAGTACATCACTACATTTAATAACAGGTTCACTTGGATGAGGTTCTCTTTGCTTTCTTCTGTGGAATTTTCCAGTGTAATATTTAAACACTTCAGGATAGAGAATTTTTTTGCATCCACATTGCAGATCATTAAGGTAATGTATTTTGGAGTTTCAATCAATTCCTGAGCTTTGTCTTCAGTAAAATACACCTGTTTTCCATTTTCAAGATGAACACTCAAGTGCTGAACTGATGTATGTCTGTTGTGAATGTTAAATGAAAAAATTCTCCAGGCAGCCTCATTTCTAGAAATGTATCTTCCTACTTCATTGTGGTTGTCAATACTAATCACAGCTTGATCACTCACCTTATTTATGTACTTGCACGCATACTTTATGGACTTAACACTGTGAAAAGATACCACATGGATGTGAACATTGAATGCTTTGCACAAAAGTGAACTATAAGAAACAACTCATTTGTTGTCTATCAGTATATTTTGTCCATTTCAAGGTTGAAACTAAATTCTCCATCTTCAATATTTCTTCTGTAACTTGAGTAACAATCTGCGTCCATTTATTGTGTGATTGAGAAATTTTCTTGGAAATCTTTTTGTATATCTGTTGTCAACCATGAAGGGGCAATTGAAATTCAAATAACCACATGGTCCATGAATCATGTGTCTTTCTTACTATTTCAAAAATCCCTGGATCTTCATTAGGATTTGGCAGTTCCGCATTGATGATAGAATCTATTTGATTTGGATTTATCTTCTCCCTTAACCATAAAATCAAATGTACATGCTGCAGTCCCCACTTTTGACACTCAATTGAATACATGTGACATTTTACAGGTCCAAATATATTTTTTCTTTATTGATAAGATCGATCAGTTTGTTGACCTTCAGCTTAAAAATCGTAGCAACAATATTATACTTGTCTGTTGGAGACTGTCGAGGAAGATTTCCTAAAATCTCAGGATAATTCAGATTTGTAGTAAATGTAACAAAAAATCTAGTTTGCCAAAATGCCTGACATAAGTCATTCAATCTTGAACTCTTTCATGCATGTACCTTGGTCCACCTGAAAATGATGAAGGGAGAATAACTCTGTGTCCCACATTGACAGCAGTGCCATCATTCTGACTTGCATCCTTTATTTTCCACACTGTATATCAGTGGGGAAAATAAGTATTTCATCCCCTGCTGATTTTCTGAGTTTGTCACCTTACACAAATGGGAACGGTCTATAATTTTCAGGGTAGCTCCGTCTTGAAAGTGAGAGATAGAATAAGAAAAGAAATTCTAGAAAATCACATTATATTAATTTTTGAACATTTATTTATTTTTTTACTGAAAAAATAAATATTTCACCCCTAGCAACCAGCAATGTTTCAGTCCCCACAGGCCGGTTAAGTGATCATGAGGCATATAGACTAGTCCTATTACTCAATTATTTACTCCTAATCATGTACTCATTACACTAGTCCACATGTAGTGCCCGCAAGGTCCGCTTACTCAAGATGGCACATGTACAGGCCCGTCAGAAGTTTGAAAATGAGCACCTGGATGATTCAGAGGAGGTTTGGGAGAAAGTACTGTGGTCACACGAGACCAAAATTGTGCTTTTTGACATCAATGCATCAACTCGACTGTTTGAAGGAATAAAAGCTGACTTGGACCCCAAGAGCACCATTCCGACCATCAAGCATGATGGTGGAAACATTATGCTTTGGGACTAAGAGGACAGGACGACTACATCGGGTCGAGTGAAAGATGGATGGGGCTAAATACAGGGAAATCTTGAGTGAAAACCTCCTTGCTTCAGATGAAGATGGGTCGTGGATGGGTGTTCCAGCATGACAATAACCCAAAGCATATGGCTAAGGCAACAAAGGACAGTCTCAAGAAGAAGCAAATTAATGAAATGGCGTGGCCTAGTCAGTCTCCGAACTTTAATCCTTTAGAGAATCTGTTGAGGGAGTTGAAGCTTTGAGTTGCCCAACGACAACCTACAAACCTTTAGGATTTGGAGAGGATCTTCAAAGAGGTGTGGGCCAAAATCCCTCCGGAATCTGTAAAAACTTGGTAAGCAACTAAATGAAACATCTGGCTGCTGTGCTTGCCAACAAAGTTTTCTTCACCAAATACTGTGTTATGTTTTGCTATGGGGTAAAATACTTATTTTTTCAATAAAAAAGAATAAATGTTCAAAAATTAATATAATGTGATTTTCTAGAATTTTTTTAAATGACAGACCTACCCTGTAATTATAGACCGTTCCCATTTGTGTAAGGTGACAAACTCAGAAAATCAGCAACGGACTAAATACTTATTTTCCCCACTGTATTTCTCTGCTCTTAGTTTCTTTTGATTCATTTTGATAAAAAGTAACTTTTCTCATTCAATTTTTCCATACATATCTACCAAGAACTGGTTGAATAGTTGCTTGAATCTGAAGAGATAATTATAACTGTTACTTTTTATCATAATTCTGTATACATAGAAGTCCATGGCTGATATTTTTTGTTTGTGGTTAATCCAGTGTTCAAATGTCTTGAGGAGAAAATGGTATCCATCTGTTCCTTGATAAAAGATGAATGGATATTGTTAGGCATCATAAGCTCTGTGAGTTTCTGCAACTCTTTGAAGACTTCCATCTTGTCTCTGGAAAACAATATCCCTTTTATCACATTCTTGGCCAACCATTAGGATAGCTACCTCATTAGTATATGATGTATTGAACCTCCTCTGGCGCTCACCTGAAGGCATTTTGTCAGCTTTAATCTTAATTCTTCAGGTTAGACTCTTTCCATAGCTGATTTGAACTCCCTAACATGAACATTGTGCTCAAGCAAAAACTCTTTAAAAGTCAATATAATGTCAAACGCATTTCTTCTGGCCTGCGTTTGTGCTTGGTAGTCCTCTATGAAGTGGATTTAAATAAATTGGCATGGCTCATTAGATAATGGTAGAAGGGAACCAATCCTGTGGTGAACCTAACCGTCAATTATGAAAGTTGATTTCTATCCTGGAAGTGTTGCATCTTTTGTTCCAAATGAGCTCATAGCAAAGCAATTATTTTAGGCCCTAATGTGCTGAAGAAAATCTTTGATTCTTGAGAAATTCCATTTAGGAAAGAGAAGAGCAAAAACAGGAAGTATTAGAAGTTCGCTAGTTGAAACTTTCATTTCTTACAACACATTATCGGATTCATCCTTGAATCCTATGGTATTGCGGTGTAGGGAGACTTCAGTTGTTTTCCCTCATTTTTGTTTTTAGAGAGAGTAGAACACTTCTGTCTTTGCTTCCGTTTTTGGAGGAACGGTCCTTTTTCTTTACTTCCGTGACCACCAGGGTGTCCACACCACACGTGAAACTGGTCAACATGTGCACGGCCTAGCAAAAGAAAAAAACGTACTTTCTATTCACTTATCTGCGGACGATCAAAGGCCATAAAGTTGGTATGTTATTTCTTCGTTCTCGTTCTGTAAACCTCCTCGTTCCTTTGGGACAATATGGACAATCATTTGTTTTGGGACATATGTAAATCTTTTGAATATATGTACGTAAGTTGTTTGCCTTATTAAATGTTTTGTTTGTTACGCTCGCGTATTTCGTCTTTCTATATTCGTATTCAGTGTTAGTGTATCAATGGCTACACTAATGCTAATATTAGTATCGGTGTGCTACTGGAAGGCTAAAACACGTTATTCTTCCTAACACAAAATAGTCGGTAAACTCTGTGTGGCAGATACCACCATACTAATAAGTGGTGACTCCAACGTGTCAGTATATTTTTGCAATTTGCAAAATAACTTCATGTGTCAGAGAGTTTTTTTTTCTTTCGACACAAATAATTTGCGATATAGGAATGAAGACCTGTATAACATGGCAACATGGTTTCCCTCTCCCTCGTGTGCTTCTTCTTCCGTCCTGTATTTGAATTTGGCACCGGCCGGCAACGTTAGACTGCCTCACTCTTGGAGGCAGGCTGGTCAGTAGCTTACTGCTAGAGTTGACAACACCCATTAGTGGGAGTAGGAGGTTGGTAGTGGTAATAGCAGTGATAGATGATTTTTTTGTTTAGGTTCGTTTGTTTGTGTTTTTCTCTGTTGTACTTCGCATTGTGAGGCGTATTTCTGTGTGGTAACTATCCCCATAAAGAATATCCGATATGGATGAGGAAAAAACGGCCGCTGTGTCGGCGATGAACACTGTCAGCCTAGCCTACTTTAAAGCGGACCCAGCTTTATTTTTCGCACAGTTAGAGTCGGAGTACGAACTGAGAGGAATTACCTCTCAGAAAACAAAATTTAAGTTGCCTTTCGAAGCTGTCCTCCTGAAATTATTATCTCTCCGCCGAAAGACAAACCATATTACAAGTTAAAAGAGGAACTTTTTCGCAGGATGTCTATGTCACGGCAAAAGAAATTGTAGTAGCTTTTGCATGAGGAACAATTGGGAGACAGCAAGCCGTCGCAATTTTTACGTCGTTTGCAGCATCTAGCTGGAGAATGTAATGAGGATGGCATTATACGTCATATTTTTCTCCAGCGTTTGCCCTCTGTGTATCACGCTGTTTTAGCTGCGGTGGGTGAAGATGCACCCGTCACAAAGCTGGCTAAAATAGCAGATAATGTAGCTGACCTAACTTCGGGATGCACTGCTCCCGTTTTTGCCGTACAGACGAAAGAGCCAGATCCGCTGGCTAGACTCTTGGAGGAACAACGAAAGTTAGAGGCTAGGATGGAAGACTTAGAAAGACGGTTGCAGAAGGTTAGCATTCTCCGCTCCCAAAGTAGAGGTCGTGCAAGAGCTGTTAGCAAGAACTCAATGTGTTACTTACACAGGAAATTCGGAGATAGGGCTAATTATTGTAAGCCCCCTTGTTCCTTCAATTCGCAACAGGGAAAAGGCTAGGCTGGCGACCGGAGGCGACTCTGTGCGCCGGCGTGGGAGAGGTTTGTCGCTTACTATTTGTTTCGGACCGCACTACTGGTATACGTTTTCTTGTGGACAGTGGTGTGCAAATATCTCTAATTCCTACCACTAGGGCAGACAAGTTAAAAGGCCCTCACAAACTTACCCTGCAGGTCGTGAATAAGTCGCTCATCCAGACTTATGGTCAGAGGTGTCTTACATTGAATTTGGGTCTGAGACGGGTTTTCACCCATTTCTTTGTCCTTGCGGATGTAGAGAAGGCCATATTGGGTGCAGATTTTTTACACAAATTTGGTCTTCTCATTGATGTTTCACAATTACGTTTGTCTGACAGACCCTAAACCTGACAAATACTCAATCCTGCCAGGAGCCATTCATAATGTAATTCCATTATGTCCAACTGTAAGCTAAATCACAGAAGATAACCCCTATGTTCTGTGAACTTTTAAAAAAGTTTGAGAACATTACCAAACCGGCTTTTCACAAAGATAGTTTACCCCACAATATAACACACCACATTGCTACTAGCGGTCCTCCTGTTCACAGCCGTCCTCGTCGTCTGGTACCGGAAAAATTGAGTGTGGCGAAAGCGGAATTTACCCAAATGATGGAACTTGGTATTATCCGGCCATCAAAGAGTAACTGGGCATCTCCTTTGCACCTGGTACCCAAAAGTGGTGGTACCTGGCGCGCTTGTGGTGATTATAGGGCACTCAACTCTGCCACTAAATCTGACCGTTATCCCATTCCTCATATACATGATGTAACGGCTATCATTCAGGATATGTGCATATTTACTAAATTAGACCTTATCAGGGCCTAGCATCAAATTCCACTAGAACCCGAACACATTCCAAAGACTACTATAACAACACCATTTGGGTTGTTTGAGTTTCTGCGTGTGCCATTTGGACTAAGAAACGCAGCACAGTCTTTTCAGAGATTTATCGACCATGTATTGCACGGTTTACATTTTGTCTGTGCCTACGTGGATGATGTCCTTATAGTCAGTTCTTCCATGGTAGAACATATTAAACATTTACAGCTTGTTTTCGAGCGTTTTGAGAAATTTGGGGTTGTTATCAACCCAGTAAAGTGTGAGTTTGGAAAGTCTGAAGTTGTTTTCCTAGGTCACCGCATTAATTCAGCTGGAGTTTCACCTTCTCCATCTAAAGTGGCGGCCATTTCTGACTTTCCCATGCCAGATACCATGAGAAAGTTGCGACAGTTTTTAGGGATGGTGAACTTTTTTCGAAGGTTCCTGCCAAATTGTGCGCAGGTTATAAAACCTTTGACAGATATTCTAACTGATGTCAAAAATTGTGACATAGTTTTGTCTGATGAAGCCTTGGCAGCCTTCCATCGAATTAAGGTTTTATTGTCCCGAGCAGTTGAATTGTCACATGTTGTCCCAGATAGCGAGTTGTGTTTGGCAGTTGACGCCTCTTCGATTGGTGTGGGTGCAGTACTACAGCAGAAGATCGATGACCACTGGAAACCAATTTCCTTCTTTTCCAAGAAACTAACTTCTACGGAATCCAGGTACAGCACATTTGGACGTGAACTTCTCGCAGCTTATTCAGCTGTCCGTTACTTTCGACATTTGTTGGAAGGGCGGACTTTCTACTTACTGACAGACCACAAGCCCTTGTTGGGGGCTTTTCAGTCAAACTCTGACAAGTATTCCCCACGTGAAACCAGACACTTAGATTATCTGTTACAATTCACTTCAGATATCCGTTTCGTCAAGGGAACGGACAACATACATGCAGACACTATGTCTCGTGGCATAAACGTTTTTGTGCTGGATCCGTGCTTGGAACATGAATCATTTGTGGAAGCACAGGAAAAGGATCAGCAACTACAGCATCTGCTACGAGAGAACCACACATCCTTGACGTTGTCGAGAATACATGTTCCAAACACAGAATTGGAAGTTGTATGCGACACCAGCACCGGAAGATTGCGCCCTTCGTGCCTGACTCAATGCGGAAGACGTTATTCTCATCCATGCACAATTTGTCCCACCCACGAGCTAATGCGGCTGATCACAAACAGATTTGTTTGGCCACGCATGAAAACTGACATTCGGCAATGGTCAAAGACTTGTGTGCCGTGCCAGACGGCCAAACTGGGGAGACATACCCGTTCACCTCCTGGATCCTTTCCATCACCCGACGAGCGGTTTGCACATGTGCACGTGGACATCACAGGACCACTCCCTTCATATGAGGAACAGACATATCTATTGACATGTGTTCTCCCGTTGGTGTGAGGCTCTTCCCATGTCGGACATTACGGCACATATCACTGCAAAGACTTTTGTGTCAGGGTGGGTTTCCTGTTTCGGGGCCCCTGATTTAATTACTACAGACAGAGGGCGGCAATTCGAGCTGATGAGGATCTTGGGGAGTAAAAGAATCAAAACCACCGCTTATCATCCTGAGCTTAGTGGAACGGTTTCATCATACAATTAAAAAATTAAGTCCCGTGACAGATCAGGCAAATTGGCTGGAGCATCTACCGTTGGTTCTTCTGGGACTCCGCACTGCGGTTAAAGACGATCTTAAATGTTCACCACACTCAGACTCCCAGGACAGTTTTTCCTGCAACCTCCACAAAAAGTTTTGAACTTGACCTCGTTCGTTGTTCGGCTTACCGCGAGAATAGCGAACTTGGCTTCTGCACAGGTTCAAAGGCAGATATATGTGCCTAAACTACTGCAGACATGCACACATGTTTTTGTGCGGGACTTGGCTAAGTCCCACACATTGCAGCCAGCCTACAGGGGACCCTTCAAAGTCCTTGAGAGACATTCGAAATATTTTATGGTGAGCGTTAACAATGCAACACAAAGCATTACTATGGACAGATTAAAGCCTGCCTTTTTTGACACTACCTGGCTCAGCATGGACACTTCAGTGACTCTTCCATCACCAGTAGCACCGGAGGTAGTAAAAGAGACTGTGACCAGATCTGGCCGTCGTGTTAGATGGCCCAAACATTTATTGACATAAGTCATTTTCAGGTTTTGGGTTCAGATATTCCTCCCTCCACATCGAACTCTTCCTTTTTCATTCAATTGCAAAACCATGTTTTTTTTAAATTTGTAATACAGGTTGTGAAGTTTTGTTTTTGTTACATTTTAGTTGTATCTCTATTGCAGGTTAATGAACCTGTCTAGGGAGGGGGTACTTGTAGGGAGACTTCAGTTGTTTTCCCTTGGGTTGAGCTCATGGGAGTTTTGGCTCCTTTAGAAAGTAGAACATTTCTGTCCCTTTTTGTCTTTGCTTCCGTTTTTTAGAGGAACGGCCTCTTTACCTTTCTGACCACCAGGGTGTCCACACACGTGGAAACTGGTCAACATGTGCACGGCCAAGCAAAAGAAAACCGTACTTTCTATTTACTTATCTGCGGACGATCAAAGGCCATAAAGTTGGTATGTTATTTCTTTGTTCTCGTTCTGTAAACCTCCTCGTTCCTTTGGGACAATATGGACAATCATTTGTTTTGGGACATATGTGAATCTTTTTAATATATGTACGTAAGTTGTTTGCCTTATTAAATGTTTTGTTTGTTACGCTCGCGTATTTCGTCTTTCTATATTCGTATTCAGTATTAGTGTATCAATGGCTACACTAATGCTAATATTAGTATCGGTGTGCTACTGGAAGGCTAAAACACGTTATTCTTCCTAACACAAAATAATCGGTAAACTGTGTGGCAGATACCACCATGCTAATAGCGGTAATAGCACTGGATATATATTGGTCCAAGGAACACCTTTTGATAATTTGCATAATCAGTATTATAGTGGAATGCAGCTTTGTGGTAGTTAACAAAAGGTATATTTTGTACAGTGGCATATGTTACTGAATCTAAACCAAGCTTGTTGCTGACTTGTAATGGAGTTTCAGCAGCTCGTGATGCTCTCATTCGGGGATCATGAAGAGATTTTCTTTTTGGAGCTTGCTGAAAACTTTCATCATTGAGGATAAACAGAAATAATATTTCAATCGTTTCACCATTGGAGAAAACAAAGAAAAAGTAATTAACAGCAGTACATATTTTTCGTGTTGTATCTATTATTTTGTTTAAATAGTAAACATTTTATGCATAATGTAGTTGCAAACATGGAAAATGAATAAAATGAAATTAGTACAGATATTTCGTTTCATATAGAAAATATACGAAATTTATATATAAAGTAAAAATAAATTTGTTTATAATTTTCGTTTAAAAACGGTCGAAAATGTTTAATATATCCAAAATTTGCGAGTATCTTGTTAAAAAGGTAAACATTAATTTAATATTGTAAAATATTGCAGTAAAACTCAACAAGTATTTATCAATAAGAAAAAAGTAAATAGATAAGTGCGTGTTTTCTTTTTACGACAGAGATTTGCGAAAACTTTGGCGGACTTGTTTGAATTACAGCTATTTCAAAGTATTTTCACAGATATAGTAATAGAAAACACGCCGAAAAACAACAAAAAGTTTTCGTCTGAAGTAAGTCTGTAGAAAACAAATTCTACATTATTCCAATACCCAAAAATAGTTTGGTCAAATCTGTGCAAAAAGTGGATCACAGAACACTTTCAAATTCATGCACTTTCAAAAAAATCTCGAGCCCTCATTGGTTAATAAATATACAATAGGCGTGACTATCCACCCACGCTTAACTAATTTTTACAGCTCGTGACTGAAATCCAAGTTCCAGCCAAGTCTCTAGGAGCCATATGGAACAAATAAAAACAGAAACTTATTCACACAATCAGCAGCGTGTCATCAGCCAGCGACCCGTCTTTCAGACCGATTTTGACTGAGAAAAAAAAACTTTTTT